GCCTGGCGGTTCAAGCAGAGTTTACGTTTCAACGACCCGCCCGCTCGACCCGCCCGTCTGGGCCTGCCCGCCCGACCAGCCCGTTAGGGACTGCAGTCGCCGCTCGTTGCCCTTCGCCCGCCTTCGATACCCTTCGCTGCCCGTACTGGTTCCGCGGTCGCCTTCGCTCGCTGCCTTTCGTGGCCCGGTTGTTGCCCTCAGTGGCCCCGTCGCTGCCCCGCATTAGATGCCCTTTCGTGGCCCCCGTTCGCAATCGCCCGTCGTGGCCACATACGCGTGCCCTTCGTAGCCCCGCTGTCGCCCTTCGTGGCCCTCTCGCTGCCCTTCGTGGCCTTTTTGTTGCCCTCAGTGGCCCCGCTGTCGCCCTTTGCGGCCCCATATACGAAGCCCTTCGTGGCCCCCGCTCGTTCGCGCCCGTCGTGGCCCCATATGCATGCCTTTCGTGGCCCCGCTGTCGCCCTTCGTGGCCCCCTCTCTGCCCTTCGTGGCCCCGTTAATGCCCTCAGCGGCCCCGTCTCTGCCCTCTGTGGCCCAGATTGATTGCCCTTCGTGGCCCCCGCTCGCTCGCGCCCTTCGTGATCCCATGCGCATGCGTTTCGTCGCCCCGCTGTGGCCATTCGTGGCCCCCTCGCTGCCCTTCGTGGCCCACTTTCTGCGCTCAGTGGCCCCGTTGTCGCCCTTTCTGGCCCCGTCTATGTATGCCCTTCGTGGCCCCCGCGCGTTCGCGCCCGTCGTGGCCCCATATGCATGCCCTTCGTGGCCCCGCTGTCGACTCTTCTCCAATCCTTGCCGCTCCGCCTCCTGAGACCCCACTCTTGTCTACTCTATCCCAAACCACTCCACATCCCCCGCGCTCCTCTCGACACGGTTGCAGTTCTCACTATCCTTCCGTCTCACTATCCCAACATCACGCTTCTTTTCCAGGTTCCACGAAATTTGTTTCTGACACCAGTTCGCTGCTGTGCGTCCCCCCGTGGGGGTATCCACGATGTGTTCTTTCAAGGGGGTGGTACTTGGCGCTGTTTATGGCGCGACCCGTGGCGAAATTTATGGTTAACTTGTGTTGGAGTGGCTGGCGCAAGCCATGGCGCAAGCTGAATCGCCACTCGCATCGCAGCTCATCGTCCTCCCTCCTCCTTGTCCCTCCCCCCCCTTCATCCAATCCCGTCGTCCTCATTCCCCTCCGTTATCTGTTACCCTTCGTTCTCAAGGGTTTTACCAACCACGCGTGGCAGGGAATGAACATGCCCCCCCCGCGCGGAGGCACGATCGAAGACGAAGAGGGCGGGCATCCAGGGTTTAGGGTGTGCATTTTGAAAGACGCGCGAGCAGATAAGAGCGAACAGCCTGAACACGATGGTTGTTGCGCTCTCATGTCTGAAGAATAAGTACTGTTGATCCCCCCCGCCCTGTGCACAATTTTTGTTCGATTGAAGTGCCCTTCCCAGGGCTCGCACCCCGTCTTTTAGCAGGGAACGTCTTGAGGGTTCAACTGTGTTGTAGGCCCCCGGCTCACAATTTCAAGAACAGCAACGGTTCCCACTTGATATTTCCTCACAATTTATGGAGGAATCGCGCTCTCGCCTGGGATTCCCTTGCAATTTACCACCAGATCGCGGCTCCCGTTTGATACTACTACAATGTATATAAGATTCGCGCTGTTTTTTGTTAGACCGGTTTGCAATTTACCACCGAATCGCGGCTCCCGCCTGATATTTCCACAACATGTGTTCAGATGCCGCTCCTCGACACTCAGGAATCGCGCTCCCGCTACATATCGCCTGGCGGTTCAAGCAGAGTTTACGTTTCAACGACCCGCCCGCTCGACCCGCCCGTCTGGGCCTGCCCGCCCGACCAGCCCGTTAGGGACTGCAGTCGCCGCTCGTTGCCCTTCGCCCGCCTTCGATACCCATCGTTGCCCGTACTGGTTCCGCGGTCGCCTTCGCTACCTGCCCTTCGTGTCCCCGTTGCTGCCCTCAGTGGCCCCGTCGTTGCCCACTGTGGCCACGCATTATATCCTTTTCGAGGCCCCCGCTCGCCGTCTCCCGTCGTGGCCCCATACGAGTGCCCTTCGTAGCCCCGCTGTCGCCCTTCGTGGCCCTCTCGCTGCCCTTCGTGGCCCCTTTGCTGCCTTCAGCGGCCCCGCTGTCGCCCTTTGCGGCCCCATATGCGAATGCCCGTCGTGGCCCCTGCTCGTTCGTCCGTCGTGGCCCCATATGCATGCCTTTCGTGGCCCCGCTCTCGCCCTTCGTGGCCCCCTCTCTGCCCTTCGTGGCCCCGTTAATGCCCTCAACGGCCCCGTCGCTGCCCTGTGGCCCCCGTTCGCTGGCGCCCGTCGTGGCCCGCGCCAACAACGGCTCCCGCCTGATACATGCTTACAATGTGTTGAAGAATCGCGCCCTCGCTTGGGGTTTCCTTGCGATTTACCACCGAATCGCGGCTCCCGCCAGATACTTCCTCACAGTTTCTTGGAGAATCGCGCTTTCGCTTTGGACTTCCTCGCAACCATACGCATGCCCTTCGTAGCCCCGCTGTCGCCCTTCGTGGTCCTCTCGCTGCCCTTCGTGGACCCTTTGCTGCCCTCAGTGGCCCCGCTGTCGCCCTATATGGCCCCATATACGAATGGTTCCACGAAGTTTGTTTCCGACACCAGTTCGCAGCTGTATGTCACCCCGCGGGCGTATCCACGGTACGTTTTTTCAAGGGGTGGTGCGTGGCGCTGCTTATAGCGCGACCCATGGCGGAACTTATTGTTAACGTGTGTTGGAGTGGCTGGCGCAAACCATGGCGCAAGCTGAATCGCCACTCGCAGCGCAAAACATCGTCTTCCCTCCTTTTTGCCTTTCCCTTCCTTTCCTCCGATCCGTTCGTCCTCATTCTACCCCGGCATATGTTACCCCTCATTCTCAACGGTTTCACCAACCACACGTGGCAGGGAATGAATATACCCCCCAAGAGGGGGTACGATCGAAGACGGAGAGGGCGGGTGTCCAGGGTTTGGGATACGCATATTGAATGACACGCGATCGTACAAGAGCGAACAGTCTTAAACTGATTGTTGTTGTTGCTGTTGTTGTTGCCGCTGTTGTTGTTGTTGCTGTTTTTGTTGTTTGTTGTCGTCGCCCCACCCGCGACCCAACCCGCGACCCAACCCGCGACCCATTTGCGACCCACCCCGCGACCCACCCGCGACCCACCCGCGACCCACACCACGACCCATCCGCGACTCACCCGCGACCCACCCGCGAATCACTTGCGACCCACCCCACGACGCACCCCGCGTCCCAACAGCGACCCACCCGCGACCCACCCGCGACCATGTACGACCCACCCGCGACCATCCCGCATTGGTTTAGCGAAAAAATCCGCGCTTGTGGTTCATCCAGAGTCTCGCAAACTGCCGACGTCCACACCGCCCCGTCACTCTTATCCGCATCTGCGGGTTGCTACGGTATGTTTTCTGCGTCCCACCCCCAGGGAGCACATGCACGTTTGGGTCTTGACGGTCGCGGCATGCGGTCGTCATTCGTTGAAGACACGGGGCGGGATCCCCATGGAGCACCGGCTCACTCTGGGCTAGTGGCCGCGGTATGCAGGGTGTGCGAGATGGGCCAGGAGTTTTTGTTCATGTTGAAGACAAAATGGAAAATCCCAACCTGTCGGGTGGAGAAACACATAAGCACAAATTTTGGACTAGCGCTGGAATTCTTTGGCGCGCGATGCGGAGGGGGGCTCCGTCGTCGACCGTGTCAGGGGCGGCAGGCGAAGAAGAAAGGACGGCGTGAGCATGATTTGTTGGGACGCCCGTTCGCATTTTTTGGGTCGGCGTTGGAGGGCAGAGTCTTGGTGCCCTCAAGACAGCCCCGGATGCCCTCAAGACGGCCGAACGTGTTCCCAAGAGTGCCTACGAAGTCTTCAAGAGGCCCCCGAGGAGGCTCTCGAGGCTTAAGGTCCGTCGGTTTCCGATTGGCATGTTTTACACGTGTTGCATTTCTGGTTTGTTCGTCTCAGGTGAGCTTCCGAGGTCTCAAGATTGTTCCCAAGACGCCCCAAAAGGCTCCGACGAAACAGAACGGGCCCCCAAGTGGCCCCAATGAGTTTTCCAAGTGAGCCTCCCAAACAGAAACAAATCAGACACGGCTTAATGCCCAGGACAGTCCAGGAGGCACCCAGAATGGCCCAAAATCGTTTCCAAATAGCTCAATATGTTCCAACTAAGACTGCCGAATGTGGTCGCAAGAGCCTCAGAACTCTTCAAGAGGCCCCCGAGACGGCGCCCGAAGTCAGAAACCTACGGCAGTCAATAGTCTAGCATGCTTGGCTTCTTCACATCAGATGAGCTTCTGAGTTCTCAAGATTTCCCCAAGGGGCCACTCAAGAGGCTCCGACAGGAGCAAATACCTAGGCCCCCAAGAGACCCGACAGGACCGAATGGGCCCTAGGATCACCACCCACCAATTCACCCCAACCCAACCCGAAGGCTCAGATTTACCCTTGATTTCCAGTGGGGGGGGTCGGGAAACATAGAAAAAACACATGTGGAACCCTTACCCCCCCCAACCCAAAATTCGGGTCTTCGGGTTGGGTTGGGGTGGTCTGGTAGGTAGTCATAGGAGGCACTGCTCCAGCATGCCGACCATCCGCCCCCCGAGAGAACAGTGCGCCGACCATGCGGCCTCCAGGGACTATGCAGGAGCGCTCGTGGAGCGCGCAGAGTCACAGGCAGCCTGGAACTTCTGTTGGAGGCTGGCCGCGCTCTTCTCAGCCGGTACGCCTGCTTTCAGCACGTGGGGCTACCTAGAAACAGAGCGCGCGCGGAGCGCGCGCGAATGTTTGTCAGATGTTCGTGTTCACCGCCCATGGGGGTCCCAGGTCGTCGGGTCCACAAGCGGAGCATGTGGGTACATCTCCGCCTCGTAAGGGAGGGGGGATCCTCCCCCCTCACCCGAGGCGTCCTCCTTTCCTCCTCGGCCTCCCGCACACTGGCTCTCTCCTGAAAGGTGGGCAAGTTGTTCTTCCTCCTGGACCGCGACAAATCGGGGGCCATTGACCCCGAGGACTTCCTTCTCGGCGGCGAGTGGGGATAATTCGATAGGATTCGTACGGAGGAGGCGGAGGCCGGCTCTACATGTGCAAAGGTGGCGGAAGATAGGTGTGCAGAAGGACAAGGGCTTGGACCAGGAATCGATAGAGGCTTGGACCAGAGGAGTTGGATGAGATGGGGGATGTGGAGGGAGGAGGAGGGAAGGAGGCGGATGAGCAGCAGCAGTGCGGCATGAGGATACAGCGAAGGAGAGTAATAGTTCCTGCTCGTCCCTCTCATCTTGCCCTCCACTCGTCCAACCTGGAGGAGTTCATGTTCGGTTGCCTGAAGTTCCGGGGCGAGGCCAAGAGCCTGGACATCGCCGTGATGCACCAGCAGGCCCAGATGTTCGGCTTGTCCTCTCCCTCTTGCTGCTCCCTTCTAGGGACGACAAGGAGAGCGGGAGGAAGAGGAGGAGGACTGCGGGGAGGGTCAGAATGACGAGGGGACAGGCGCATGACTCACATAGGCGGGTTTTGCCCAGATAGGGATTCGAAACCAGCTGAGTGAAACGGTCCTTCCGTCAAGAGACGAAATGATCCCCACACCCACCCGGAGATTTTCTTTGATGTTTTGTCGGAGCGCTTGTGGATTTAGTCGACACGTTCCCACGGCGAATCTTACATTGCGCCGCATCTCTGATATTACACATCACCATATCACACACATTCTTGTTATAAACAATTTGGTTTGATGTATGATGCATCTTTCTGCGTGTTTATGAACCCGCGCTTTCGTTTATGAAAATGCAGCGTCTGCGCGCGAAGACAAGATTTGTGCAATGTTCCAGGGAATCTCGCGCGTTGCACATGTTATTCAAACATTCTGGGCGCTCATCTGGTTAACCCAAAAGGGGGTCCAGCGACAAGGGGGTGGTGCAGTAGAGGTGGTGCAATAGATTTGTGATGTTGCAATAGATTTGGGGCGTGCAGTACATCCCAGTGCGCAAATGTACTGCTGGGTTTGGGCGTGCAATGCACGATTTGCACTACAATGCAATAAAAGTGCAATTCTCTGGCGCAACACCTCTGCAATATAGTTGCCCCTGACATATTGCACCACCCCCCTTTTAGCTGGACCAGCGAAGCTCACTCGAAAACAGTCGGTTTTATGGGACCGGTGCTGCCCGCCATTCGGCGGCTGCGCTGTCTGCCCGTTGCAAAGGAGCCTCGCCTCGGGCACGAGCAGCCGACGGCGGGCGTCGGACCGCAGGCCCCGGAGAGAAGCGTCGAGTATACAGATATACACAAACTTACACACACATATATATATATATATATGTATGTTGATTATAGACAGATGCCTGTGATTACATACATATATATATGTAAGTGCATACATACATACATGCATGCATGCATGCATGCATACATACATACATACATACACATATAGATGTTTGTGCCCTTACATGTGTAGATGATGATGCTGATGATGATGATGACGATGACGATGACGATGATGATGATGATGATGATGATGATGATGATGATGATGATGATGATGATGATGATGATGATGATACTGATACTGATACTGATACTGATACTGATACTGATACTGATACTGATACTGATGATGTTGATGATGATGGTGATGATGCTGATGCTGATGCCGCTGATGACGATGATGATGCTGATGCTGATGCTGATGTTGATGATGATGATGATGCTGATGATGATGATGATGATGATGATGATGATGATGATGATGATGATGTGGTGGTGGTGGTGGTGTGTTTGGGGGTGGCTTGGGGGTGCCTGCGTTCCCTCCTTCGCATTCTCCTTATTCGCGGCATCGCTCGGACGTGTGTATCATGGAGCAGCAACCTAAAAAAAACGCACGCAACCGACACATGCACGGGAAATGGACGTCCGGGCGACGGCTAGTATATGGCGTTTTTCCTTCCCCCCAGTGTGCCCTCTTCATTTTCGAGTCCTTGCCGTCGTCCCCATTCTTCCGTCGTCCATCCCTTGAATGTCTTCCTGGTGCGCGCCCTCCCTTCCCTCCTCCGCTGCCCCATTCCTCCCTCTTTCTCCTCTCCTCCCCTCCGCCTCCTGCTGCCTCCCTCCTCCTTACCAATCTCCTCCTCATCATCATCCTTCTCCTCCTCCCCGACGTTGCGAAGCAAAAGTGCAGCATCACGATTAATCACGACCAGAGCCCCAGGCCCAATCTTTCTGCTGCGTTTGTTTCGAGCTCGATGGATCTGAGAGGGCCCTGGGGCCTGAAACATGACGAACACGCCCAGTGTTGCGAGAATTGCAACGCCCGAGTCAGGGTACGCACCTCCCGTCCCGCCCTCCCACCCTCCTGCCAGGTCTTGTGGATCCACGAGGCCCTGAAGGTCGTCGTGTCCGCCCTCGGAATATCCGACAGCCGCGTCTCCCACATGAGCGTTGCCTCCTCGAGGGGTCTCACGAGCGAGGTGCCTCCGCGTGGCTTGGTCGCCACGCCGTCGTCTTCCTCGTCCTCGCCGTCGCCGCCGTCGTCGTCCTCCTCGCTCGCCACCGCGCTCCCCAGCCCTCAGAGGAGGAAGAGAGATTCTCATTGTTGGGTCATGGATCCCCCTCTTCCTTCTCGTCCTCCTCCTCCCCCTGTGGAGCGTAACGGTCGTTACCCAGGCCAAACTCCGCCCCTCTGGTTAACGGTATCGATTAGGCGTAATTGTAGGGGGGTTCTTCCTTCAAAGGAGGAATTGGGATTTTGTTTGTTTACCTTCTGGCGCGTAACAGTCGTTGGCTGGGCCAAGCTCCGCCCCGTCGGGCAGTAACGGTGACGAATGTCTGTAATTCGCGGGTGAGAGCTTGGGCCCTTCCCCCACATGCTGGTCCTCGCGCGCATATCCTGGCGATCGCAGCATCCTCCCATCGCGACGTACCCCACCCCCCACCCCTCCCAAGTATTACCGTCACCCCACCCCCTGTAACGACCGTTATTGGAATTAGTGTAGACGAGGTCAGAACTATTGATACCGTTGCTCGTCCTGGAGGGCCCTTGTCGCCACGGCTGTCGCGTTTTAATACGTGTGTCTCGCACAGCATGGTGTCCAGACGCGCAAGAATTCTGAGGCCACAGCCGTGCCCACCTGCACAACCTCCCAGCACAATCCCCAAGCACAACCCCCACGCAACCCCCAGCAGAACCCTCCAGCACAAACCCCCAGCGACCCCCCCCCCAGCACAAACCTCCAACACAACCTTCCAGCACAACCCCCCAGCGCAACCTCCGAGCACAACCCCCCAGCACAACTCCCTAGCACGACCCCCAAGCACAACCCCTCAGCACAACCCCCAGAACATCAACCAGCACAACCCCCCAGCACAACCCCCCAGCACAGCCCCCCAGCACAACCACCCAGCAAAACCCTCCAACACGACCCCCAGCAGAACCCGCCAGAACAAACCCCAGCACAACCCCCAGAACAACAGCCAGCACAACCCACCAGCACAACCCCCCAGCACAGCCCCCAGCACAACCCCCCAGCACAACCCCCAAGCACCCCCCCACACAACCAGCTACCGCACAACCCCCCGCACAACCCCCCACAACCCCCCAGCACAACCACCCAGCAAAACCCTCCAACACGACCCCCAGCAGAACCCGCCAGAACAAACCCAGCACAACCCCCAGAACAACAGCCAGCACAACCCACCAGCACAACCCCCCAGCCCCCAGCACAACCCCCCCAGCACAACCCCTCAAGCACCCCCCCAACACAACCTCCCGGCATTTCCCCTCCTGCACAAGCCCCCCAGCACAACCCCCCCAGCACAACCCCCAAGCACAACCCCCCAGCACCCCCCCCCAGCACAACCCCCCAGCACCCCCCCCCCAGCACAACCCCCTCCAGCGTAATCCACTCTGCACAAACCCCATTCGCGACCCCCCAACAAAAATCCCCACCACAACCTCCCAGCACGACCCACCAGCACAACCCGCTACAGCACAACCCGTTGCAGCACAGCCCCCCAGCACAACCCTCCAGACAAGATCCCCAGCATAACCCCCCAGCACAAACCCCCAGCACAAAACCCCCAGCACAAACCCCCAGCACAACCCCCCAGCACACCCCCCCAGGACAACCCCCAGCACAACCCCCAGCACAACCCCCCGCACAACCCCCCAGCACAACCCCCAGCACAACCCCCCAGCAAAACCCCCCAACAACCCCCAGCACAACCCTCCAACACGACCCCCAGCAGATCCCGCCAGAACAAACCCCAGCACAACCCCCCACCACGTCCCCCTGCACAAACCCACCGCACAACCCCCAAGCACAACCCCCCAGCACAACCCGCTACCGCACAACCTCCCAGCACAACACCAGCACAACCCCCAGCATCAACCCCCTAACACAACCCCCAGCACAATTCCGCAGCAACCCCCCCAGCACAACCCCCCAGCACAACCCCACAGCACAACCCCACAAGCACAACCCCCCACACAACCTTCCGGCATTTCCCCTCCTGCACAGCACCCCCAGCACAACCCCCCGGCACAGCCCCCCAGCACGATTCCCCAGCACAACCCTCCAGCACAACCCCCCCAGCACAACCCTGAGCACAACCCCCTGCATGCTACCATACTACCCCCCAGCACGACCCCCCCAGCGCGACCCCCCAGCACAACCCCCCAGCACGACCCCCAGCACAGCCCCTGACATAAGCTCCAGCTTTCCGTTCGCCAGATGTCGCAGCAGTTCGTGCCGTGGAGATTCCGGTAATCATCATGCTTCTAATCGTGGTCGTGGCGGCCGGCACCTTCAGAAGAAGAGGCGGGGTGTGAGCCCTCGAGGGCGGGGGACGGGAAGAGGTCGCCGCGCTTGATGCATGGGACCGCGTTGAGGGCTGCGCCCATAGGGACGCCCGTCGGCCAGTGCAGTTCTTGTGCTGCGAGCTTTTGAGGGGCTAGCATCGAGAGACGTCTGGTTTCGAAGGAACCCTCTCAGGGTACAGCCAAGTGTTCTTCGGGCTTCGAGGTCGTTAGCTTGACAGGGGCTCCATGATGATCTGCTCTGCTCCGCTCCTCCTCCTCTTCCCCCTTCCCCTCCTCCCCGCCGCTCCCCTCCTGCCCATCCTCCCTCCCTCCTCCTCCTCCTTATCCTGTTTCTCCTCGTCCTCCTCCTCGTCCTCCTCCTCCTCCTCCCTCTCCTTCCTCCCTTCCTCATGATTATATTCCTCCCCCTCCCTCCCCCCTTCCACCCTCCTTCCCGCCTCGCGCCCCATCCTCCCTCTCTTCCCTCCTCCTCCTCCTTCTCCTCCACATATTTCCGCAATTCCATCTTCTCCGACCTTCTCCGCGTCACCGAAGTCATGAATTCGATTCCCAATATGCAGACTGATAGATGGATGCTGAAGTTTCAGAGTAAATGTTTCTCTGCGTAGGTGTCCGCGAAGGACAACTTCTCGAGCCTGGACTTTTTTTATGCAGGACAAGCTGAAGAAATGGGGCCCCGTCTCGGAGTTGGGAGCTCCTGTTCGTTTTTCTCGGTTTCGTGATGCTGCTCGTGAACTCCCTGAATCCTGTGCCCCTGCGTATATGAAGACGCTGTGCAATGCATGGAACACTTTAGCCAGATGCAGATCTGGAACCAAACATTGCCGAGTCTGTGGTCTGAAGAATTGTGATCAGCTTCTCCCGCAGCTTCTCCCGCTACTTATCTTGTCCTTCAGTTCATCGGGTCGTGAGCCATTCTCTTCCCCATCTTCCCGATCCTGGTCAGGTTCTGCCCCCTTGTCCAATTTCCCTGCACCTCCTCTGTCTGTCTCGCCTCCCTCACCCTAGTCTCGCCGCCATCTGCTCCTGCCCTGCAGATCTGGATCTACACCTTGTCCAGTTTCAATCCCCTTCGAGTTCAAGATCTGTACTCTGCCAGCCTCTTATTCCTCCCTCGTGAGAGCGAGGGACAGGGCCACTCGGCCACTCCAGGTTCACCACCCACCAAACCACCCCAACCCAACCCGAAGGCTCAGATATACCCTCGATTTCTACTGGGGGGGGGTCCGGGAACATCGAAAAAACGCATGTGGAGCCCATACCCCTCCCAACCCGAAATTCGGGTCTGCGGGTTGGGTTGGGGTGGTCTGGTAGGTAGTCAGATTGTGGGGCTCCTCTTCCGTGGGTCCGATCCCCTCACTGCCGGCCGGGCCGGCGCCGGCGCGCCCCCGCCCCTGCCGCGGCCGCCGTCGCCGCTGCCGCTGTGGGATGAGGTTGGGTTGCTGGGTTCTTTGCCTTCGTCTCGTTCTTGTCATCCTGCCCTCTTCTCGCCTCTTCCATGTGAGTGTCCCTCCTCCTCCTCCTCCTCCTGCTTCTCCTCCTCCTCCTCCTCCTGCTCATCTTCCTCCTCCTCCTCCTCCTCCTCCTCTCAAGTTACGTCTTGGCTCAGGCCAGCTATGGTTCACGAGTTCGTTGCCTGCGTCGCGACGCCCCGGGGCTGTACCATACGCGCGCTGTCTTGAGCGCTACTTGTTGGGTGTTTTTGTTCAAGGTGTGCGTCGCCAGTGGATGCTGGGGTGCACAACTCGGGGCGCGCATCACCAGCCTCGCCTTCGCGGGCGGATTGGCTCGCGGCCTTTTCAGGTCATCCCCAGTGGTTTAGCCGTAGTGTCTTCGGGATTATCCTCGGGGGACTTGCGGCACTGGTGGCTGGGGCGATGGCGCGGACTTTTTCGTTTTGGCTTCATGGTTACGGTTTGCGGGATGCCATGTGTTTGACGGTTGCAACGTGGCGTTGCGCAGTTTTATGTTTTGGTCGTGTCCGCTGGCGATCGGTTTGGGTAATTTGTCTGTTTCAGTTTTTGGCCGTGTTCTTCGCCGTGCTGCTTCATTGTTATTATGCCCGTTTCGTTGTACCTCTACGTCAAGTTCGCCGTGGCTCGCTGTTTTTTTGGCGCGTTTCAGGAAGTGGCATTTGCTATATGCTCACTCGCGCAAGGCGTTGACGACGGCGTGGTGGAGCATTTTTTACCGCAGGCTGCTTTGGGGCGTCCTCGAGGTCTTCATTGTGTGTTGTGCTCGCCACGTCCTCCAAGAGCTGATGTGCATTACTGGTATAAAATAAGCGTATTCCTGTCTTCCTACTCTTCCCCCTCCGTCTTTTCAATTTCTTTGGGGTGCCTTCGTGTTCGTGCTGCTCGACGTGGGCCTCGTCGTATATTCACTCGTAGACGGCGATGAACTATTCTGTGGGTTGGCTTCTACCTTGCCGTGGTGGTGGCGCCCGCAGAGCGGAGGTGATGTGGCCTGCAGCGTGTCACAAACATCTTCCTCCTCCGGCTCCTCCTCCTCCTCCTCCTCCTCTTCCTCCTCCTCTTCCTCCTCCTCTTCCTCCTCTTCCTCCTCCTCTTCCTCCTCTTCCCCCCCCGCGTGGCCGAAGGCGCCCAATGCTGTCCCCCCCGGCGGGGCGGACGGTGCGGCGAGCTGGGACGGCCAGTGGGCCCCGGGCAGCGCCAAGAGCGCCATGGGGAGCTGGGACCTCTCCAGCGAGTGCGGGACGCCGGCATGCCCTGCCGTGGGAGGAGAGCCCAAGGATCTTTCGGAGGCGACGATACAGGCGGATAGCCTGGAGGCGGGCATGCCACGCATTCGCCTGGGAGCCTTGCCGAAGGCATGAGCCATCGGCGCCCATGAATGCATGTGTTGCTCTCCCGTGGACGATCCGCCCCAAGCGTCGCCCCCGAATCTTCGTTTCCAAAGAGGTTGGAGCCGCCATGTTTTGACAGTTTTCAGCTCCGTGGGATAATAAGACGAAGATTCACGACGACAGCCTGGCCCTACGGACATGGTCCAGACCTCCAGGGGTCGACGTATCGAGAAAACTTGGAACATTGGATAGATGGTGGAGAAGGAGGAGAAGGAGGAGGAGGAGGAGGAGGAGGAGGTGGCAGAGGTTTTAACATCCACTGCTGCTACCTGCTTACTCCCTGGGGGGCGGTGACGTCTCCAGGGGACTGAAGAGGATATCGACCAATCCGACCCCGAGGTGGACTCGCGATCTTCCTCTTCAGGAATCGTGCCTTTTAAAACCCACCGCGCACCATGGGACCCGAGGTACCTCGGAGCGAGGCACGGGCTCCGACGGCGCCGGCCAGAGCGCGGGGTTTCTCCTCTCCCCGACACGACGCGCTAGACGACCCAAAACCACCTCCGATGGTTACAGGCGCTGGACTCACGGCGGCCTGCCATCGAAGCGCGGCAGCATTTGCCTTCGCCACCTGCTCGGGATTCGGGCCCACATCCCCACCGGCAGCTAATTTAGCTCCAGGGTGCAGGCCAGGCGCCTGGACAGGTACCACAGTGTCAACCACGTGGAGTGACTGGATCCTCGGATGGCGGCCCTTCAAAATCTTGTTGGTCACCGTGCTACCATATCTAGTGGGCTGGCAAACCGAAACACAATTCTTTTTAGTCAACGATTCTTGGTGCGTTAAGGTTCCACACTTGAGAGAGCAGAAGCAGTCCGAACCATCAGACAAGTAACAACAGGCAGGCAAATGACTCAAAGCCTCGGTTGCGTCCATGCCGTGTGGACGACAGCCAGGGCAACTCCCTGGCAGAGGCGTGCCCACGGCCTTGGACCCCGTCCTGCAGACAGCACAGCGCCAAACATTGTAGAACAACCAACCCAGTCGTGTGCCGGGGCCGCTGGAGACTCTTTGGGCCTTTGACTTGGAGAGACCCAAATAACACCACCGAGGTGTAGCCCAGGCCACAGTGAGAGCCGCAGAGCTGCCAGTTTGCAGACTGATTTCGAAGTCTTTACAAACTTGTCCAAGCGCGCAACCTCGTCCTCGGATGGCCGAGGCTGGCACATGACTCCTTTTTCTGGCCATCCTTCTCCGCGTTATCGTTACCTCGTTTCCTGAAACGCCCGACCTCTGACAGATCGGAACCATCATGAGACAGGTGCGACTTGACTTTGGTCGCATTCGAATGTTCTTCGAGGCGTTCGCATCCTGAAGCGCTCCAGCATTCTTTCGCTTGTATGCGAGGCGCTGCGAACGAGGAGGACATGCATTACCTACCACAGCTGCACAGTCATAATACACACGAGCGACACTCTGCTGAGGCCTGCAAGCTGGCCATCGTCAGTGCAGTGAACTCGGCGGCAGAAGCAGACTGGGGCAGCGGGTGGTGCACAGGTCCAATTACACCACGCTGCAGCTCGTCCTCGGGCGAGACCTGGCGCGCGCTCCAGCCAGCTTTCATTTACTTCTCGAGTGGGTGCTTGAACGAGGACCCATCGACGAAGATGCCCCCGCGCACATCCCCACCTTCCCCTTCAGGATAACCTCCCGATCCGATCGATTCCCCTCCGCGAGAGAGAGGTCTCAGCCAGAGCGACCCGGGGCGAGGGGAGATCCCTCGCGTAAAGAGGAGGAGGTCGAACGGAGAGATCCCCGTCCGATTCGGCCACAAGTGAGGCTGCCACAAGCTCGGCACGCTCTTTAGCGCAACCCATGCATTGCCAAACCCGCTGAAACAGATTGTCCTTCGCCCCGCCACATCGAAAGCAGAAGCGCTGCTCGGCAGACAGTCGGTGACCTAGACGCGCGGCCCCATCGGCAGTCCAACAACCGTGGCAAGCCACGCGACGAAAAGTGCCCTCTTCGAGCGGGGTGCATTTGGAGGACTTCATTTGGGCCTCGACCACATCAAAACAAGCTCGGCCCCATGCGACATCTAACTTCAAAGCCGCAGCGACCTCCAGGCCCCTGATGACAGCCTAGTGGAGGACCCCCTCGAGGAGTCGAGGGCCGACGACAGCGAGGCGGAGGTCGACGCCGCGAGGGCCCCGAAGGGAAGAAAAGCTAGGCGCACAGTCCACCCGATATGCTTCGCCGACAAGAACAGGGCCCCGACGCGGCACGTAACAGAAGACCACTTCGACAGGTGCCCGCGGGGGGGCCAAAACAAATGCTGGCCCGAGACACCCCGTCGGAGAGGGAAGCGGCGAGGAATATAGAAAGACTGGCGCTGCCCAGTCCGCGCATCCTCGCCCCGCCGAACAGCGGGCGCAACGGCAGCATGCCAGCGCGGATTGTCGCCGCAGACCAGGGCTGACGAGAGAGACTTGCCCCCCGCGTTCGGCCGTGAACATTTACCTGCTTGGCCCCTCAGTGTATCCATTCCCCTGCAGCTGATCCCGTGCACATCCGCCCCGCGCGTGTTACAGGGCCCGGGGCCGCTCGCAAGAAGGCGCCGAGCGGCGAAACCAGGCGCGCGACGGGCAAGGCGCTTGACGCGGGCAAGGATATGAACGGCTCGCTTCGCACGTCTGACTGCTCTGCCCTTGAACTTCGAGTTTCGCCGGGCCGCGTCGTCGGCCCCAGGGTTCGCCGCCGACTCTTCCAGAATTCTTCCAGCTGCCCAATTTGACCAGTTCTCAAGATGTCCGCCCACCTTCGAAAAGTTGGCAATCCACCCCGCTTTCTCGGGCAGAATCGCAAGGCCCAACTCGACGGCGATGGCGCGATAGGCGGCGCCGGCGCCAGAAGCGAGGCCGGCGTTCACCTTGCCGGCGCGGCCGCGAGCAGAGATCCCGATGCCATCGACGCACGGGCCCACGTTGCACACAAGCAATACTACAATACTCCTGCACGTAAAAGGTACGCACGAAATAGGTCGCCGTACTACATCCAGCGACCACGCCCCTGAGAGCCCCTACGCGCGGTCCGTCCTAGAAGCCCGCGACATTGAGATACCGACCCGATCGACGCGCGTCGACGAACAATCTAGCGACCGCACTGGAGGGGCCCAGGGAGGTGCACTTACTGAGATGCGACCCGAAATCAATGAGCTCATTGAACTTGCACATATCCCATAATATATTTCGCAGAGGCTTGCCCCTCGCCGCGCGCGCGCTCAGCGGCGAGGGCCCGGCGCCCGACCACGCCCGACGCGCTCTTGAGACCATGGCCTGACAAGAAAGAGTGGAGGTTCTGCCCCTCCCACTCCAAGGCAATCCGACGTCGGATATGTCCCTGTATGCGGCGCGTGGCTCCGAAAATCCCGATGGGTCTCAGACCGCCGGCAGCCTATGGAATCGTCGCCAACATCGCGGCGCGGACCTGCAGTGGCAACGAGGAGATGATAATGCGCACCGACAGCATTGCAGCCGACGTTTCGAGGGCGCCATCCGACAGCAGAGCGAAATGCATCATGTGGAATCCCACCGACACCAAGGATCGAAGACAGTGGGGCCTGCTCGCAGCCCTGAGACAGTCCACCGAAATCAACGGGAGGGGTTCCTGGGGCTCGAAGCCGGAGGGTTCAATCGCGAAATCCCCGGCGGAGTCTGCCAGCCACAAAGTGCGAAATATTTCGCCCTCCCTCTTTTGAAGGGCGGGAAGATCGGCAACATTTTGCCCGGCAACCGAGAGGGGGGTCGAGGGCTGCCAGGCCTCGACAGGCCTGGACCAAGAACGAGCACGCCTCCCACCCTTGACCAGTTCCTGCTGAAGCCGCGCAAGCCAGGACTTCTCCCCCTGCTGTCGAGCGCTGACAACGGGTCATGACCTGTGCAAGCAACGCTCCTTGCAGCTGCTCAAACAAAATCTTCCTGGGTTCGAGAGTGTCAGACTTCAACCCATCGACCACCTTCTGACCCCTGCGCCCCATGTCACCAGAGGCCACGCCCCCCCCCCCCCCCCCCCCCCCTTCCATCGACGCCCAATCAGCGGCCGCAGGGAGGATGCCTGGCCACTGGTCCAAGGCCCAGAAGCGGAAGGCGCGAGCCATCCAGCGCACCGCAAAGTGCAGAGGGTGCTTCTGAGGGTTGCTATGTTGCTATATTTCTTGAGAGCGCTGACCCACCGCGCTCTAGGTTCTCCCCCCGACACTTGGGGAGCTCCACCTGAAGAGCGCGGGCGAACTCTTATTCAGCGAGGGTGGCCCATTCATTATGCAACGAAAGCAAGATGGGAACAGGCAGCGCCCGTCATCGCAAGTGTTCTCACCCTGCCTACCAACGAAGACACCCCAGACCAGTCAGGAGCCTCGGGGCATGGACCGAGGAGCAAATCGGGCGGGAGGGGGGGGGGGCGCGCGAATCGAGAGGGTCTTAATCCAGAAGCCGCATTAAAGTGATCATTGCCCCCCTCTGTGACAGAGGGGGTGTTTTTTTCGGAGGCCCTCTGTGACAGAGGGGGTGCGTTTGGAGGCCCTCTGTGACAGAGGGGGTGCGCTCGGAGGCACTCTGTGACAGAGTTGCTCGTCATCCCGTTCCTCCTCATCCTGCTTCTTGATTTCGGATATGTCATGCTGCATGCTACCACTGTGATCATCATCTTTGCGTCTGTGATCCTCGTCGTGTTTTTCCATGCGTCCTTTTCACAATTTCCACCACATTATCCTCCGTTGCCGTTCTGGCCCGCCATCTACCTCGTCGCTCTCCTTCGTCTGCATGTCCTCATTATCTTCCGCTCTTTTTTCTCCCCCCTCTGGTTCGATTTCCGCTCTTCGTCCACTTCGTTCTTCCGTTTCCACCCCCCCTTCCTTTCAAGTTCTCCGCCGTCCAATCACATCGCGTCGTCCGTCGCCGCTATGCTCGAACCATCCCGCGCCCGTGGGATCGCCCGCGAGCAACGGTGCAGCCGGGCCCGTCGCGGCCTAACGCGCGCCTGCGCCATCGTCTTGCAATGGGCGATGCAGGCGGATGCACATGGGGTGGCGCGGGAGGATGGTGGGATAGCCGCGGCAGCGGCTGGCGTGGCTGGGAGGACGGCCATGATTGGTCAGCGTGGGGTTGGAGAGACTGGCGACAAAACGGGAACACGCCAACGGAGGACGCCAAATGGCGCGATGGCCCTGCCGCCGCAGCAGCGGCGGCGGTCTCGCCTCAACGGCCGTCTCGCTTCGCCGCGCTTAGCGTTGTGAGCCCCCGCGCCCCTGGTCTCGGCATGCCCGAATTCGATAATTTCGCGAGGGCTGCCCTCCGAAACTCACCAGAACCTGGGAACACAGTTTCAGGAGAGGGGTCGGGATCCCGAGCCGCGCCTGCGGCGCAGGAGCCCCGCGCCACCGCAGCGGCGGCGGCGCGCGGGCCCCAGGATGTTGAGAAGTTTGATGTTAATTATTTTTTGAGTTATGAAGAGAGGCTCGGCACTTCGTTTAAGCAACACAACCAAGCGTTGAAATGGTGGCGCCATCTGAATGAAGACCCAACTGCCCCGTTCGAGTCAGCAGCCAAGTGGTTTGACAATGCGGGGCCCACCATGGTCGCTGTTTGCGACCGCGGTGCGAGAACGAGCTTTGGTTTCAAAAGCGACGAGGAAGTCCTTTGGCGGTGGCAAGAGATGGCGGCGACGCTCAGGGA